TTTCTGTCGAAAAGGACAACAGCGCTCAAGCCAAGGCCAATGCAATCCGCGCTCCCGTGCCTCAAGCCTATGCCGATTCGGAGCCATTCCAACGCAACCGCTTCCCCCCGTGTCCCTACATCATCAGGCGCGGCCCTCGTGCTTGCCAGGTGTGTGGCGGCACCAACCACGGCCTTGCCTCCTACTTTAAGAAGAAGGATGACGAGTGGTATGCTGTCAATGGGACCGCCTCCACGTCGCCAAGCTGGATGGTCAATGGTGCTCCTTGCCAAGTCAATCAAGTCGAAGCGCAGGAATCCGTGCAGGCTGCTGTGGCTGCACCTGCTGATGTGCGCCTCAACATGTTGTTCCCTGGCACTTCCATGATTAATGAGACAATTTCGCAGTATCCTGGCTCACAAAGCACCTCAGCCACAATAGAGTTCACCCTCGACAGTGGGGCCACTCACACGGTTCTCAAGGAAGAACAATCCTTCAAGCCATACGAGACACCAATCCGTCTACTAGGAGCAGACTCCAGTTTCACAACACACGCCAAGGGCTCCTCCACAATTCCGTGCCCAGCTTTTCCTTTGGGCAGTGTGACTGGCATGTGTGTTCCCATACTACGCCACAATCTCGTGGCCCAACACGAGCTCCAACGGGCAGGCGTCACCACGATCTTCCCAGCACACTCGGATCAGTGTGACCTCTTCGACCCTAAGTCCAACAAGCTCCTAGCACGCTTCACACTCAACAGTAGCAAGCTCTACACGCTGCGTTCACCTGCACCTCTCGCCGCCCTCTCCCAAGCGCAAGCTGCCAGCACCACTCCGTGTTCGTGTCGCAGCTTCGCCAACCCAACCATCCTCTACCACCGTCGCTTGGGTCACCCCAACTTCCGTACACTTGCCGACATCGCTTCCAAGAAACTTCTTCTTGGCCTCCCGTCGGCGCTTCCTCCACCAACAGACTCACCTGCACCCACCTGCCTGGACTGCACCAAGAGCAAGCTCAGGCAGCAGCCGCACCCTTCCTCCCCATCCGTTGCAGCTGCTCCGCTGGACCTAGTGCACATGGATGTCTGGGGCCCAGCTCCAGTCGCATCCCGAGGCGGTCATCGGTACTTTCTTACACTAGTCGATGACCACTCGCGGTATGTTTCTGTGCACCTCCTGCATACCAAGGCGGAGGCACCTGATGTTATTATGGCGTGGGTGCGCCAGGCTCAAGTCACGTTCGGCACTCCTCTGAAGTGCCTCCATTCTGATGGCGGGGGAGAATTTCGCAATGGCAAACTCGATAACTTCTGTGCGGCCCAAGGGATTCGGCAAACCTTCACGCTCCCCGAAAGCCCGCAGCAGAATGGCATTGCAGAGAGCCGCAACCACACCTTGGTTCAGATCGCTCGCTGCCTCCTCAGTCACGCCAACGCACCACGGTCACTCTGGGGATATGCCCTCTTCCATGCGGCACTCCTCTACAATCTTTATCCGCATCCCCACCGGCCCGACACCACACCTACCGCTCTCTGGCTTGGGGTCACGCCTTCCACCCGCTCTCTACGCGTCTGGGGGTGTACCGCGTATGTGTTGCTAAGCCCCCACACGCGCAGGAAGCAAGGTGGCAAGCTTGGTCCCAAAACCCAGACCTGCATGTACCTGGGGCACAACTCCGACTCCCTAGACTACTTATTCCTCAACCCAATCACCAGACAGCTGATTCGCAGCCGTGATGTCGTCTTCGATGAGACACGCCCATTCCACTCTGCGACCACGGGCGAGCCTCCTCCACCTCCCCCGACGCTTGTTTGGGCAGACTTCGATGCCCCACCTCCGGCCGCTGCCCCTTCTCCGGGACCTTCTCCGTCCGGCGTGTCTCACCCGGCCTCCCCAGTATCCTCCGCAGTGGCACCTCCTCCTGCTCCGCCTTCCCCGCGCGTCGAGCCCGGCTCACCAGTCTCCTATCGGAGGCGCCCAGTCCCTCCGGTCCCACCGCAGCTGCCTTCGTCTCCGGTCTCTAGTCGCACTCATTCCAAGGGACCGGCTCCGCCTCTCGCCTGGGGACCAGCCGCCTTCTCCATCCGGTGTTCGGTCACCCCGCCTCCTCCTGCTGGGGGTGATGTCCCCTCCATCCGTATTCCCCCCCGTGCACTTCTGGAGGACAGGCATGAGGAGCTGTTTGACCTTCACGCGGTCTGCCAATTTCTCTCTCACATCTTCCCGGACATTACTGACTGCCCTTCCCTCAACTTCACCGAGAACCCGACCATTCCGACTCCTCGCACAAAAGAGGAAGCTCTCTCGGGGCCTTATAAGAAGGAGTGGAAGGCAGCAATGGATGTGGAGAACGAGGCGTTCATTCGCAACAACAGCTTTGACGATGTTGTTCCCCCTTCCGGTGTTAATATCGTCGGCGGAAAATGGATCTTCCGAGTCAAACAACTCCCAGGCGAAGCTCCACTGTTCAAGGCACGATATGTGGCAAAGGGTTTCACCCAGAAGGAGTATCTCGACTTCTTCGAAACATTCTCGCCCACGGCCAAGCTCCCGACTGTGCGCGCTCTTCTTGATATAGCCGCTCGCGGCAACTTCGAGATCAAGTCCATGGACGCCTCCTCCGCCTTTCTCCAAGGCCAGCTCAAGGAGGATGTTCACATGGAACGCCCACCGGGGTTTCCTGGCACTTACCCTGCCAACACAGTGTGAAAGTTGAACCGCCCAGTGTATGGCCTCAAGCAGGCTCCTCGTGAGTGGCACAACAAGGTGAAGGAAGTCCTCCTCGCACTTGACTTCCATCCCTCTGCCTCAGATTCCAGTCTCTTCGTTCGTCACTCCTCCGAGCCCTTCTACATCCTCGTCTACGTCGACGACTTCATTCTAGCCGCCAGAGATCCAGCCGACATGGCAGCTGTCCAGTCTGCTCTCAGCTCCGCCCTTCTCATGAAAGATCTTGGTGACCTCAAGAACTACCTGGGGATGGAGATCACTTGTGACCGCCAGGCTTGCACGATCACCCTCTCCCAGGAGTCCTACATCGACAACCTTCTCAAGCGGTTCAACATGGACTCCAGTAACTCTGTCTCCACTCCACTCCCACTACAGCATCAGCTCACGGCCCCTCCAGTTCCTTCTCCTGACGCCTGCAAGGACCCGTACCCTGAGCTAGTCGGTTCACTCATGTATGCCATGATGTGCACTCAACCAGACTTGGCTTACCCGGTTAGTGTCCTCTCTCGGTACGTCTCCCCCGGACGCTACACTGCCTCGCATTGGTCTGCAGCCAAGAGGGTCCTCTGTTAGAATATACCATGCTATGCTAGTTGTGTATATTGTGTTTACATCCCTAGTTGGGTGTACACCTGTGTTGGGGTGTCAATCCAACCCAATTGTGGTTGGAGCCCCCAAACACAAGGACCACAATTGTGGGGGCACCACAAGTGGGTTGGCTAAACCACTGGTGGTACACCACACTTGGACCACCTCCAACTGGTGGTCAACCACATTTGGAAGGAGCCTCCCTCCCTTGTGATTGGTCCTAACCCCCCCTTCCCTTCCAACCTTCCCTTCCTAGCTCATCTCTCTCTTCCTATGTAATGCCTTTCCTTCATCAATAAACTGAACCTTTCTGTTTCTAACATGGTATAGAGCAATAATGGCTCACGCCAACTTTTAAATCCCGATCCTTCCCCACGCTTCCGCCCCGTCCCCTTCCGACGTGCACCTCATTGCCGTCCCCTCCATCGCCGCTGCTAGACTCCTAGCCGCCGCCTCTCAACTAGTTTTCTGTTGGGTGGATTTTCAAAAACCCCCAATGCGCCAAACGCCATAGCTCGCTCGATAGTTGACAGAATTGAGTGATTCGACTTGCAAAAGAACGCTCTTGGTGTCAGCTACAACGTCGTAAAATTTCGGACTGTTTCATCGCTTGGATTGTCAGATATCGCTTTCCGAAGTTTGCACACTTTCCTGGATGTGATCTCGAAGTCCTATTTTCATCAGCTAACTGCCATCTTTCCCCATCTTTTGCCTCCTCACCTGCACCTGCTCATCGCCGCCTTACCACCGCTGCAGCCGTAGCAGCAGCAGCAGAAGCAGCAGCAACACCAGAAGGAGCAGCAGACTCAGCAGCAGCAGCAGCAGCAGCAGCAGCAGCAGCAGCAGCAGCAGCAGCAGCAGCAGCAGCAGCAGCAGCAGCAGCAGCAGCTGAAGGAGTAGCAGCAGCAGCAGCAGCAACAGCGGCAGCAGCAGCAGTGGCAGCAGCAGCAGCGGCAGCAGCAGCAACAGCAACAGCCGCAGCAGCAGCAGCAGCAGCAGCAGCAGTATCTACAGCCATCCCCATCCTCCCCTCCTCTTTGAGCCGCCGCGGGTCCACCCGCCGCCGCTCCCTCCCGGCCACCGCGGGTCCACCCGCCGTCGCCTTCCTCCCACTCCGTGTCACCAATGTCATCCTTTCCCCCTCCCGTCGACGTCTCGACCCTCGATCATCTCGTGCGCGCTGCCGACAACTCAGCAACCAATTGGTATTCCTTCGTCGGCAGCCTCCACCGCGTCCTCGGCAGTGCTTATGTCCTGCCGTTCCGCCTCCTGGACATCATGCTTGGTCTCCCAGAGGGTGACCTTGGGGATCCGCCGCCTCACCCTGGCGATCCCCCCCCTCTCATTCCCCATCCCGGCGAGGAACCTTCGCCCCCCATAGTACCCGTTGGCACCAGCACTCGCGCTGCCACCGCTGAAGTTGAGCAGCTCTTCCTTACTCAGCGTCGTGAGTTCCTCGTGCTCCATACTGATTACATGATCGCGTTGGAGGAACACGAGCGGTCGGCAACCCTCCGCACCCAGCATGCCGCTACTGCCGCCGCTTATGCCGCTGACTCTGCGCGATTTGCTGAGCGTCGTCGCGCCTGGCTCGAGGCGGACAGCCGTGCTACTGGTGCCCTTCTCCTTGCCATCCCGTCTGCGCTCATGCGCAACTTCCAGGCACGTCGCATCGGCTCCCGCCAGATCTGGCTCGAGCTTGAGGCAATGTTCGAACGCACCGACTTCGATGCTGTCGGACCGCTCTTCAAGGAATACTTCAGCATCACGATCGAACATAGTGCTGGCGCTGTTGACTACACCAGCCGTCTCCTGGACCTTGCCTCCCGCCTTGAGGCTCGCCAGACTACTCTCCCCCCCAACCTTCAGATCTACCGTCTCCTCGAAGGCCTCTCCCCTCAATATGAAGTGCGCGTCATCGCCTTCACTGAGGCTCAGCCCCGCGCCTCCCTTGACACTGTGGTCCAATGGATCATTGACGCTGAGGCCCGCCTTCTCTCAACCCCCCCCTCCGGCCTGAACTCCACCGCGTCCCAAAACCCCCAGCTTGCAGTCACACAGCCGCGTCGTGGCGGGCGCCCACGTGGCGGCCGCACCAACCCTCAGGGAGGGGGTGGAGGTGGCGGTTGTGGGGGCAGCGGAGCCGGCGGCGGTGGTGGCGGGGTCGAGGGTGGCAGCAGTGGTGGTGGTGGAGGCAGTGGTGGCTCATCTGGTAGCCGTGGTGGCCGCCCTGGCACTCTTCCCCCATGTTCCTATCTTCGCCGTTTTGGTCCCAGGGCGGGTGAGCGCTGCACCCAAACCAACCATCCCCCCGCAACCTGCTTCAAGGCGTATGATGACGCCTGGTTCGAGCGCGGCAACACTGGCACCCCCCCACGCTGGTCTGCCATGGATCCCCGCCCCTCTCTCCAGGATGTCAAAACTCTTCCGTCTTTCCTCCCCTCTCATCTTCAGCTCTCCTCCTCCTCCTCCTCTGTCGCTGGCCCCATAACTCCCCAGGAGCTGCAGCAGTTTCGCCGCTTCCAGCAGCTGCAGCTGCTGCAGCAGCAGCAGCAGTGGGGCTCTGGTGGTCAGGCTGCAGCCGCAGCTGCAGGAGCCGCAGCCGCAGCATCTGCATGGCAGCAGCAGCAGCTTGGCTTTGGCACCGCCGCCATGGCTGCCACAGCCAAACCAGGTCCTCCTGGCTTTCCCCTCTGGGGCTCTCCTTCCCCTAGTGCTCCCGCCTCCCACTCCAGCTTTCTAGGCGAGCTCATGCGTTCTTCCCCTGCTTCCACTTCCATGTATCCCTCTGTTTTTAATGCCAGTGATTTCCAGTACCCCGTGTCTTCAGCTCCCTCCTCGCTCACGATTGACTTTGTTCTCGATAGTGGTGCCACTGAAACTGCCCTCAAAGACGCCGGCACCCTCACCTCCCTCCCTTTCCCCACCAACGTTCATGGCGCTGATTCCAGCTTCTCCATCCCTTGCACTCATCTCTCCACCCTCCCCTGCCCCCCCTTCCCCTCTGGAGTGGTCACTGGTCTCCACATTCCCTCCCTTCATCATAACCTGCTCTCCATTCGTGAACTCCAACAGGCTGGCATCACTACCCTCTTCCCCGCCTCTGCCACCTACTGTGACCTCCTCCACGGCCCCACTCGCCGCCTCCTTCATCGCCTCCCACTTTGCCCTCGCTCTCGTCAGTACATCCTCCGCACACCCCGCCCCTCCTCATGCCACGTGACCACTCGTGCAGGCACCTCCACTCTCCCCCCTCCCCTCCCTCTAGAGCCACCTTCCTCCAACTCCACCTCCTCCCCATGCTCTTGTCGCGCACTGTCCCACCCCGCTGTTCTCATCCACCACCGCCTTGGTCATATGAACTTTCCCACACTTCGTAAAGCCATCTCCTCCCGCTTGCTTGACGGTCTCCCCCCCACTCTTCCTCCCCTCCCGTCCTCTTCCGCTCCCCCATGCGCCACATGCATTCATGGAAAGCTCAAACAACAGCCTCACCTCAGTCATCCTTCCTTTGCTGCTGCCCCCCTTGACCTCGTCCACATGGACCTCTGGGGCCCTAACCCTTCCCCTTCCCGCCAAGGGCACCGGTACCTGCTTGTCCTAGTCGACGACCACAGCAGGTACTCCTCGGTGTTCCTCCTCCACACGAAGGCCGAGGCCCCTGCTGTCATCGTTACCTGGGCCGAGCAGTGCCGAGTCCACTTTGGTCGCCCCATCCGCCGCCTCCATTCCGACGGCGGTGGTGAGTTTCTCAACCGCACCCTCTCCTCCTACTGCTCAACCCATGGCATCCAGCAGACTCATACCCTTCCCCACTCCCCTCAGCAGAACGGTGTTGCTGAGAGTCGCATTCGTGAGATCACCAAGACGGCCCGCTGCCTCCTCACTCATGCCTCCACGCCCCCTTCTCTTTGGGGCTATGCCCTTGTCCATGCTGCTCTCCTTACTAATCTTTACCCACATCCTCAACGCCAGTCTGTCACTCCCACTGAGCTCTGGGCTAGCACCAAGCCAGATGCTGCCATTCTCCGTATCTGGGGTTGCAAGGCATATGTCCTCATCCCCCCACCTGACCGCTCTCGGCAGGCAGGAAAGCTCGCCTCCAAGGCCATTGAGTGTGTCTACCTTGGCCACGCTCGCTCTGCCCCTGGTTACCTCTTCCTTCACCCGTCCTCAGGCCGCCTCCTACAGAGCCGTGACGTGGTGTTCGATGAGAGCATCCCGTTCTATCATTCTGTTCCGCCTTCCGACCCCCTTCCTCCTCTCTCCCGCCCCCTCACCTGGGCTGATGCTGTCATTCCCCCACTCCTTCCCCAGGCTCCCCTCCTTCCTCCAAATCCTGCTCCTCCCCCTCCTCCTTCCTCAGGTGACATTTACGACCCAGCTGTCCCTGACTCCCCTGCTCACTCTGCCTCATCGCACCAGCACCAGCAGCAGCAGCAGCAGCAGCAGCAGCAGCAGCAGCAGCAGCAGCAGCAGCAGCAGCAGCAGCAGCAGCAGCAGCAGCAGCAGCAGCAGCAGCAGAAGGAGCAGCAGCAGCAGCAGCAGCAACAGCAGCAGCAGCAGGTGCAGCAGCAGCAGCGGATGGAGCAGCAGCAGCAGCAGCAGCAGCAGCAGCAGCAGCGGATGGAGCAGCAGCAGCAGCAGCAGCAGCAGGAAGTGCAGCAGCGGATGGAGCAGCAGCAGCAGCAGCAGCAGCAACCGCAGGCAGTGCAGCAACAGCAGCCGCAGCAGGAGGTGCAGCAGCAGCACCAGCAGCAGCCACAGCAGCAGCAGCAGCAGCAGCATCAGCCATTGCAGCAACCTCATCGGCATCGCCGCACCACCTCTCCGTTCATCCTCCCACGCATCCACACTCGCTCTCACGGCCCACTCATAGGCCATCCATGGGGTTGGCCAACACCACCCCCACCCTCCCTTCCCTTCATTGAGGACTCCCATGAGGAGCTCATTGGCGTTCAGAAACAAACACCTTCCCTCACGCCTCTCTACCCGGGCTTCCTTGGCCTCCTCATCCTTGGCATCGCTACCGCTCCCACCAGATTCACTCCGTCCAACTTCCTTGAGGCCATCACCTGCCCCGATGCTGCCAAGTGGATCCAGGCTATCTTTGCTGAATGCGAGGCCTTCATCCGCAATGCCTCATTCGTTAACATTGTCCCCTCTCCTGACGACGTCATTGTTGAAGGCCTGTGGGTGTTCCGAGTGAAGCAGCTGCCGGGTGAGGAGCCGGTCTACAAGGCCCGGTATTGTGCCAAGGGCTTCACCCAGACCCATGGCATCGACTACTGGGAGACATTCTCTCCCACTGCCAAGCTCCCAACTCTCCGTGCCATCCTCGACTATGCTGTTCGCATTGGCATGGAGATTGCCTCCATGGATGTCTCCAACGCCTTCCTGCAAGGCGAGCTCCAGGAGCGGGTCCTCTTGCGGCGGCCTCCAGGCTTTCATGCAGCCTTCCCTCCCAACACAGTCTGGGAGCTGCGCCGCCCGGTTTATGGCCTCAAGCAGGCTCCTCGCGAGTGGCACAACAAGCTGGCCGCCACTCTGCAGTCCTTGGGGTTCCATGCCTCTCAGTCTGATGCCAGCCTTTTCCTTCGCTCCTCTCCCACCCGCTTCTTCATCCTGGTGTATGTCGACGACATGATCCTGTTCGCTGACGATGCTGCCGCCATGCAGCAAGTGAAGGACGCCCTGCATGCGCGCCTCAAGTGCAAGGACCTGGGTGAGCTCAAGCACTATCTGGGCATGACCATCACCCGGGACCGCACATCGCGCACCATTACCCTCTCTCAGTCCTTCTACATCGACCAAGTCTTGCAGCGGTTCGACATGGCGCAGGCCAAGCCGGTTACCACTCCCCTGCAGACCGACCACCAGCTTGCCCCTCCTCCTGCTCCCTCCTCCTCTGACCATCCTTACGCTGAGCTCGTCGGCTCGCTGATGTACGCTATGATGTGCACCCGCCCCGACCTTGCCTACCCCATCAGTGTTCTTGCTCGATTCGTCGGTACCGGTCGCCACACTGATGAGCACTGGGCTGCAGCGAAGCAGGTCCTCCGCTACCTCCGTGGTACCAAGGACTATGTCCTCACCCTCGGAGGCTCTTCTCCTCCCCTCCTCTCTGGCTTCAGTGACTCCTCCTGGGCTGACTCCCAGCCGGATCGCCGTTCCTCTCAAGGCTACGGCTTCACCCTTGGCAGCGGCCTCATCAGCTGGCGCTCCACTCGCTCCTCCTCCATCGCCCTCTCATCCTGCGAGGCTGAGCTCTATGCTTGCACCATGGCCGCTTAGGAGGCTCGCTGGCTCACCTTCCTCCTTGCTAAGATCGGTGCTCCTCAGCGCTGTCCCACCCTCTGGTGCGACAACGCCAGCACCATCCATCTCACAAAGGACCCTGTCTTCCATGGCCGCTCCAAGCACATTGAACTCCGCTACTTCTTCGTTCGAGAGTTGGTCCAGCAAGGTCACTTGGTGGTCCGCAAGATCGCTGCAGAGGCCAACTTGGCCGACATCTTCACCAAGGCCCTCCCGAAGACCGCGCACTCTGCCCTCCTCCGCCTTCTCAGCCTTGGGCCCCGCCCCCCTTCCTGATTCTGGGGTTGTACCCTACATATACACTAGCTTTGCATGCTATGGGGTTCTGTTAGAATATACCATGCTATGCTAGTTGTGTATATTGTGTTTACATCCCTAGTTGGGTGTACACCTGTGTTGGGGTGTCAATCCAACCCAATTGTGGTTGGAGCCCCCAAACACAAGGACCACAATTGTGGGGGCACCACAAGTGGGTTGGCTAAACCACTGGTGGTACACCACACTTGGACCACCTCCAACTGGTGGTCAACCACATTTGGAAGGAGCCTCCCTCCCTTGTGATTGGTCCTAACCCCCCCTTCCCTTCCAACCTTCCCTTCCTAGCTCATCTCTCTCTTCCTATGTAATGCCTTTCCTTCATCAATAAACTGAACCTTTCTGTTTCTAACATCCTCCGCTATCTACAAGCCACCAATTCTCACATCCTCACTCTTGGTGGTACCTCTCCAGTCAAGCTCGAGGGATACACAGACTCCTCATGGGCCGATGACCAGACTGACAGACGCTCCTCCCAAGGGTACTGCTTCACCCTTGGTAGCGGAGTCATCAGCTGGCGCTCCACTCGGTCCTCTGCAGTCTCCTTGTCGTCCTGCGAGGCCGAGCTCTACGCGAGCACAATGGCTGCTCAAGAGGCACGCTGGCTCTCCTTTCTCCTCGCTGAGTTAGGCTACCCCCAACAGTCGCCCACCCTGTGGTGTGACAACCTGAGTGCCATTCACCTCACCAAGGATCCAGTGTTCCACTCTCGCACCAAGCACATCGAACTTCGTCATTTCTTCATCTGAGATCTTGTTCAGAGTGACCAGCTGACGGTACGGTACATCGCCTCAGATTGCAACCTCGCCGACCTC